TAAACCCTAAACCCTAAACCCTAAACCCTAAACCCTAAACCCTAAACCCTAAACCCTAAACCCTAAACCCTAAACCCTAAACCCTAAACCCTAAACCCTAAACCCTAAAACCCTAAACCCTAAACCCTATAAGCCCTAACTAAACCCTAAACCCTGTGATCAGGGCTGGACCAGCTATTTTCCCTGCTCCCTCCGGCCGTGACGTCGATGGAGCCAGCACCCTTGGCTTGGTTAGGGTTTAGGGTTTAGGGTTTAGAGCTTGGGGTTTAGGGTCTAGGGTTTAGGGTTTCGGGCTTCGGGCTTAGGGCATATGAGTCGATTTCCCGGATTTAGGGGTGCTCGGGTGGGGCTGATGTGTCAAATCGTGAGACTCAGGCTGTCTAGGTTGCAGGGTCCAGTGCTTCCCGCCTAAATGCAAGTATCTCACATTGTGCACACGGGAACCACGTCAAACTGTGTCATGAAGGCTTGTGTGAGAACTAAGTTTCTCACGCCCTCCCTCGGCACGGGGAGTTGGAAGCGCATCCAGACAATCAACCACATGCGACCAGACATCGGAATTGCGCTTTACCCCAAAACCCTAGAGCCCCCAAACTCCCAAACCTCTTCAGCCCCTAAAGACCCAAACCCCCCACTAAAACGCCTGAATCCTAAACCCTAAACCCTAAACCCTATACCCTAAACCCTAAACCCTAAACCCTAAACTCCACATCCTCAACCTAAGGCCCGCTTTGCCGAGCTTCTGCGTGGCTCCGAAGCGCAACGCCTTGTCCTCCAGGTCGGTGAGCCGATGAAGGCAAGGAAGCCCAGCCGGTTAGGGTTTAGGGTTTAGGTTTAGGGTTTAGGGTTTAGGGTTTAGGGTTTAGGGTTTAGCGTTTAGGGTTTAGGGTGTTTTGAAGGGAAGCTCTGGTGCCCGGGCCGCTCGCTCGCGTTAGCATGTAGTCCCACCCCAACCACCCAATATATTCTCATTCAGGGTTTCAGGGATTCAAGGCTGAGGTTCGCCACAAAATGCGTGAATAGCCCTGCTCAAGGGATGAAGACTAAGGTTGTACCCCTAAAGGTTCCCCTTAATGTACTCCCCTAAAACCCCTAGGCTTCTGCTCTGCTTTTCGAAACCTTGCTCGTGCATCCCAAAAGCTCTCAGCCTCAGGGTTTAGGGTTTAGGGTTTAGGGTTTAGGGTTTAGGGTTTAGGGTTTAGGGTTTAGGGTTTAGGGTTTAGGGTTTAGGGTTTAGGGTTTAGGGTTTAACTTTGGGAGAGTGCCGAGAGGTAGTGAAGCCCAGCTCTCATGAATACCAGGGGCTTTGGGATGCGCAGGGCTTCGGGGCGTTGGGCTCTTGTTATCTCAGGCGTTTCCTGTTGAAGGCTGGGATCTGCTTCAGCACCTAGGCCTATTGTGCCTTATGCTTTTTTTGTCCCCCAGGTTTTTGGGCCTCTCCCCCCATCAGAATCGCAAGTGGAGGTGGCGCAGCGGTCCGGCTGGTTGGAGCAGCCGCGGCTGCCGTCGGCCCCGGTCTCCCAAGAGGAGCTCGAGGGCTTGGCCGCGAGGTGCGGTAGGGTCGGGTGGGATTTAGTTCAGGGTTTGGGAAGGGTGTGGGGTGCTTCTGACTTTGGCTGTGGTTGGGGGAGGGGGGGGGGGGGGCGGTGGCTTCTTTCATAAGGGAAAACCGTTTCCGTACTTGCACAAAAGAGGCCAAGCTTTCTGATACACCCCGTATCAAAGTAACCCCCTATTGGAATCTTTACTAAGGACTGAGAGTAACTGTTGGTATAAGGGGACCCTAGACCCGAAACCCTAAAACCCTAAAACCCTAAAACCCTAAAACCCTAAAACCCTAAAACCCTAAAACCCTAAAACCCTAAAACCCTAAAACCCTAAAACCCTAAAACCCTAAAACCCTTAAAAAACCTTAAAAAACCTTAAAAAAAACCCTAAAAATACCTAAAAAAACCCTAAAAAACCTTAAAACAAACCTTAAAAACCCGAAAAAAACCCTAAAACACCCTAAAAAACCCTCAAAAAACCCTTTAAAAACCCTTTAAAAACCCTAAAACAATCCTAAAACCCTAAAACCCTAAAACCCTAAAACCTTAAAACCCTAAAACCCTAAAACCCTAAAACCCTAAAACCCTAAAACCCTAAAACCCTAAAACCCTAAAACCCTAAAACCCTAAAACCCTAAAACCCTAAAACCCTAAAACCCTAAACCCTAAAACCCTAAAACCCTAAAACCCTAAAACCCTAAAACCCTAAAACCCTAAAACCCTAATCCCTAAAACCCTAAAACCCTAAAACCCTAAACCCCTAAACCCCTAAACCCTTAAACCCCTAAACCCCTAAACCCTAAACCCTAAACCCTAAACCCTAAGCCCTAAGCCCTAAGCCCTAAGCCCTTTCCCCTAAACCCCTAAACCCCTTGCCCTGCGAAACCTTGAAAGAACTCGGCCGAGGCTGGGCTGGCAGGCGACAGAGGACGTGCCCGTGTGCTTAGTGCCCGTGATTGGGACACTGCACCGAATCTCTGGCTTGCAAGACTCGATACGTTTAGGGTTTAGGGTTTTAGGGTTTAGGGTTTAGGGTTAGGGTTTAGGGTTTAGGGTTAGAGATCCAACCATGCAATTAGATCTTAGAACCCCTATCGTATCACCACGGACCCCCCCAAAATCCCGACACGCCCTATGAAACCCTGTAAACCCTGTCAGCGGACTCTTGCTTGGGTGTCCCTGATCCTTTTTCAAGACAGTTCGCATGTTCCTGCCTGCGAAGCCATCCATCCTGATTCAGGGAAAGCTTAGGTCAAGCACCGAAACTGCAAGCCCAAGAAATCCCGACCAATTCCTTTCATCCACTGACGCACAACCTTACATGCCTTTGAACCCTTTGTGGCAGATCAGGAGTGAGCTTTGGCGTTTCAGCTGCAAGCAAACTTTGCCTTGCAACCATCCACATTGGCCGTGCCTCGGGCAGAATCTGCACATGTTGGGGCTGACTCGCTTCTCTCAGGGCCTGTGGTCTTCCCGGAGCGTTTGAGGCGGTTCACGTGTATGAATGAAAGTGACCTCTCATGTCATATCGCCTCTGTAAGATAGGGTTTTCCCTTGGAAAAAGTCCCCCTTTCGTCCGCATCGTGAAGCCGCAGGAAGCCTTCGCATCACATCCCCACGCGCGCGCCAGGCGCTGGAAGCCGGCCCCCTTGGCTTCAATTGCTGAGTTGGCGCTTGCGCAAAGGAACCTCCTCGTAGGGAGGAGTAGCTGAATCTGGGAAGTTCAGTGATATCCGTTTGCTCCCTTTTGGGGTTGGGGGGTTCCTTTCGAAAATGAACCAACGGAAATTTGGCACCCTCGTCCCCTTCTGATACAATGGACGACATCTACCTGGCCTACTATATTCAACGAAGCTGCAGCTCCCGAATCTGGCCCAAAAGGCTCTAGTCCCCAAACCCTAAAGCCTAAAGCCTAAAGCCTACAGCCTAAAGCCTAAAGCCTAAAGCCTAAAGCCTAAAGCCTAAAGCCTAAAGCCTAAAGCCTAAAGCCTAAAGCCTAAAGCCTAAAGCCTAAAGCCTAAAGCCTAAAGCCTAAAGCCTAAAGCCTAAAGCCTAAAGCCTAGCCTAAAGCCTAAAGCCTAAAGCCTAAAGCCTAAAGCCTAAAGCCTAAAGCCTAAAGCCTAAAGCCTAACCTAAGCCCCTAACCCTAAGCCCTAAAACCCTAAGCCCTAAACCCTAAGCCCTAAACCCTAAGCCCTAAACCCTAAACCCTAAACCCTAAACCCTAAACCCTAAACCCTAAACCCTAAACCCTAAACCCTAAACCCTAAACCCTATACCCTAGACCCTAGACCCTAAACCCTAAACCCTAAACCCTAAACCCTAAACCCTAAACCCTAAACCCTAAACCCTAGACCCTAGACCCTAGACCCTAGACCCTAGACCCTAGACCCTAGACCCTAGACCCTAAACCCTAAACCCTAAACAGTGCCAAAAGGCTCCGTGGCCTTCCTTGGACCTGCGAGCAGCGGCAAAACCACGGTCCTCCGGGCCGCGGCGGCTGCGCTGGCGGCGCGGGAGCAGGCCGCTTGCTCTGTTGGGCCTGAGGGAGTGAAGGGCCGGAAGCCCTAAAACCCTAAAACCCTAAAACCCTAAAACCCTAAAACCCTAAAACCCTAAACCCTGAACCCTAAACCCTAAACCCTAAACCCTAAACCCTGAACCCTAAACCCTAAACCCTAAACCCTGAACCCTGAACCCTAAACCCTGAACCCTAAACCCTAAACCCATTAGGAAGATGCTGAAGTGGAGACCGCAGAAGGGCCCACATTTGTACCTTAGAGGGTCAGGGCTTCCGTGGGCGTAGCATGTAGTCTTTTCTGGTCCCTAAACCCTACACCCTAAGCCCTAAGCCCTAAGCCCTAAACCCTAAACCCCAAACCCCAAATCCCAAACCCCAAACCCTAAACCCTAAACCCTAAACCCTACAAACCCTAAAGACCCAAAAAACCCTAAAAGCCCTAACAATCCTAACAACCCTAAAAGCCCTTTAAACCCTTTAAACCCGTTAAGCCCTTTAAGCCCTTTAAACCCTTTAAACCCTTTAAGCCCTTTTAAACCCCTTTAAACCCGTTAAACCCTTTCAACCCTTTAAACCCTTTAAACCCTTTAAACCCTGTAAACCCTTAAAACCCTTTAAACCCTTTTAAACCCCTTTTAAACCCCTTTAAACCCTTTGAACCCTTGAAACCCTTTAAACCCTTTAAACCCTTTAAACCCTTTAAGCCCTTTAAACCCTTAAAACCCTTTCAACCCTTTAACCCCTTTTAAACCGTTAAAACCCTTTCAACCCTTTAAACCCGTTAAACCCTTTAAACCCTTTAAACCCTTTAAACCCTTTAAAGTCTTTAAACCCTTTAAACCCTAAAAACCCGAATTATTTTACTTCGAACATCCCCACCCTTTCTTGGTGGAGATACTCTGGGGTTGGGCACTCCAGCAACACTCTGCGGGTTGGGCGCCACTCGAGGGAGATTCTGGGGTTGGGCACTCCAGGGAGACTCTGAAGCTGGGCACTCCGGGACACTCTGGGGTTGGGCACTCCAGGGAGACTCTGGGGTTGGGCACTCCAGGGAGACTCTAGGGTTGGAGACTCTGGGGCTGGACTCCGGCACACTCTGGGTCTGGGCGACTCTGCTAGGGTTGGGCACACTCCAAGGACCCTCTAGAGTTGGGCACTCCAGGGACACTTTGGGGTTGGGCACTCCAGGGATGAGCGAGGAGTAGACCGGGCGAGGAGAAGAGTTCCAGGCGAGGAGAAGAGTTGAGCTTGAAATCTAACAACCCCACGCCGAGGGTGGGGACTTTGTAGGGCGACATCGCGATTGTAGGACCTCATCGCTCCCACATATAGCCGCTATGAGGTCGTGATTGTGGACTTCCGTGCTGAAATCGTGGGGGTGGCCGCTGACAAGCGCGAGATGGGCCTGGAGCATGCGGGGTGGCTCGGGCTGGCGAGGGTGCACCTCTTGAAGACTCCCTTCGGCCCGGAAGTCTTTCACTTGGGCTAAAAGTAGGGTTGCTTTAGGGTTCAGGGTTTAGGGTATATCTCAGGTATCTCGTGCCGCAGCCTGGGTACCAGGAGGATGAAGTGATCCTCCGCGCCATTGAGGAGCATGCACCGGAGGTGGAATCATGAGTTTTCTGGGTTTAGGGTGTAGGGTGTAGGGTTTAGGGTTCAGGGTTTAAAGTTTAGGGTTGAGGGCTGCTCAGGCAGGCAGAGGATATCAGAGTAGGGGTGATGCCATGGAAGGTACGAACGTTTAAGAACTAGTCGCAGAAAAAGTTGCACGCGCCCTGAGCCAAGGTTCCATTTCCACAGTTTTCCGCGGCCCCAGCCTTTCAGGTTGAAGGTTTAGAGGCCGTTTAGGGCTTACAGTTTACAAATTTGGGCTGTGGAGGGCTTAGGGTTGTAGAAGCCCTAAACCCTAAACCCCAAAAACCCTAAACCCTGAATTCTAAACCCGAAGGCTTGAGCCTCTTCATACCTTCCTCTTTTGTCGTAGAGCGAATTCGAAGCCCCCCAAGCCACGAGCCCGAAACCCTCATCCCGAAGGTTTTGGGGATTTCAGGGTTTAGGGCTTAGGATTTAGGGTTTAGGGTTTAGGGTTCAGGGTTTAGGGCTTAGGATTTAGGGTTTAGGGCTTAGGGCTTAGGTTCTTTTGAGGTTCTCGTGGCAGAGTTTTCGGCGCCGGCCGCCGCACTTTCAGCGGCCCGGCACTGTGCGGAGGCAAGATGGGGCAGCTTGTTTAGGGTTTAGGGTTTAGGGTTTAGGGTTTAGGGTTTAGGGTTTAGGGTTTAGGGTTTAGGGTTTAGGGTTTAGGGTTACGGTTTAGGGGTTTAGGGGTTTAGGGTTTAGGGTCAAGGGTTTAGGGTTTAGGGTTTAGCGTTTAGGGTGCAGGTTTAGGGTTTACGCTTTAGGGTTTAGGGTTTAATTACTACTGTTCACTTAAGAACCCTTCCCTATATGGGGAATAGGGGGTTTATTACTTTTTTTGGGGGTTCTTAAGCAAATAGTAGATCAGGGCTTAGGGTTCAGCATCTCAAGTTCAAGCAGTCACTAGTAAAGCTCCTTACTCCGGTATCGAATATCGACCCACCCACCCCCTGGATCCCATAACATTATGAACATATTTCACTTCTCGCTGTAAACCGAATTGTTGGTGCTCGTCCGCGATTTCTGGGAGCTTGACCATGAAGTTTTAATGGTAAACCGGGAGTCATTAGCCATTAAACATACATAGGTTAGAGAGCGTTTAGGGTTTAGGGTTTAGGGTTTAGTTTATTTTACGGGTTCAGGGTTTGGTTCTGCTGTGCCAGAGCTTGTGTATTTGACGTGCGCCAACAATAGTCTACTCCTTTCGACAGGAATCCCAAGGCACCTGGACAATACGATATTTCTGATATTTGAGTTCCCGACTGGACATTTCCAGTATAGGGGTAAATAGGGGCACCCCTGTCTACCCCAAATAGAATAGGACCCTCCAAAAAGGTCCCCCGAATTTCGGAAACCCCCAAATAGGCATCCACATTTTTGCAATTCTTGGAAGCTCACCAGGAGGGCCACAAAGAGAGCTTGAGGGTTTAGGGTTTAAGGGAGGCGACCAAAGTAGTGAGAGTTGCACTCTGGGGATTCGATTCACTTGAGATTCCCTGGGGACACTCAGGGATCTTTAAAAAGGGTGCCCAAACCCAAGGGTACCTCGTTCGGGGTCCGAGGTAGAGTCCCTTGATCGCTGAGTGGCATCACCTTTCTTCCTTTCGTGTAGCCTCCGAGTTGAGTCGGTGCAACGCAGTGAGCAAAGAGGCTGGCGTGCGCCTGCTTTGCAGCCTCCGCTGCACACTGCAGGCCCTGTGCAGTATTCATTGAAGACTGCACCACATGGTCAGATGAAGATGATGCATCGGTTAATCAGATTGGACAGGACCAATTTTTTGCGATGCAGCAGAAAAGTGTGTGATCGATTCACAGGTCTGTACCTGTTCCCAAGATGCTACAATATAATATATTGTAATGTAGTACAATATACTAGACATCATATAATTATGTGCTGTGCCCAGTTCCCGGGCCTCTTTGCTGTTCGGACTCTTGTCGGTTTCGCACTGCCTGGGCCTCTCTTGCCACGAAGTCTCCAACGTGTCTTGCCAAGGGAGTGGAAGGGGGGGGGGAATGTGGGGGGGGGGGGGGGGGGCGTACACTTGGTAGCCCAGTAGTGCCCTTTTTCATCTTTTTTGTTTGGTTCTGGTTCCCTTGTGTACTGGGCTACGAAGTACATGTCTGCTCGTCCGTTTATGCCCTAAACATTTTTAAGCGTCCGTTTCCCGCAGCTTCGAAGGCCTTAAGTCTAAACTGTTGGGGATGTTCCCTTAGACCAAGAGTCCTGAGTAGGGATTACAGCGCCCCCTAGTATAATCCCTCTTTAAGGACAGTTAGTATAAGGGGGAACATCCCAACTAGACTGCGTTGTCCCATACAGTTCACTTCATTTGGGTATTTGCCGGACATGCGGTTCGAGTCGGTTCGCTTGTTTGCTTTTGCTGCGCCTTGCGGGTGTTCGTGCCCTTGCGGTTCGTTTCGCGGTTCCCGTTTGGATTCCCGACTTGCCGGACATGCATCCCTAAACCCTGAACCCTGAACCCTGAACCTTGAACCCTGAGCCCTACACCCTAAACTCCTAAACCCTAAACCCTACAACGCCTAAGTGGCACTTTGCAGGCCTTGGTGGTGGGCGAGGGGCCCGTCTGCGAGGGCTTCCCATTCGCCTCCCTGGTGGTGCTGCCCCTTGGGTGCGGGCAGTTTCGGGTATTGAGTCCAAGAAGTGGTCACTTCTCTAAATGATGGTCTCTTTGGGGCGACCCCTATTCTTCAGGGTACCCAAAAAGGGACCGTGATTTTTAAGAACTGACCAAAAAATGTCGTGGCAAGAGAGGCAGGAGAGCACCCTGCAGAGAGCAGCTGAGTATGCCGGGAACCAGGAAAGCCCTGAACCCTAAACCCTAAACCCCAAACCCTAAACCTAAACCCTAAACCGTAAACCCTAAACCCTAAACCCTAAACCCTAAACCCTAAACCCTAAACCCTAAACCCTAAACCCTAAACCCTAAACCCTAAACCCTAAACCCTAGACCCTAAACCCTAAACCCTAAACCCTAAACCCTAAACCCTAGACCCTAAACCCTAAACCCTAACCCTAAACCCGCAAGGTCCAGGAAGGAGCTGGGCTCCTGGCGCATGTACCGGGAGGCGGCGGCGGCGGTCTGCTCGCTGGCGCCGGGGCGCATGGCACAGTGTGGCATGCATCCGACGCTGGGTTTAGGGTTTAGGGTTTAGGGTTTGGGGTTTGGGGTTTGGGGTTTGGGGTTTGGGGTTTGGGGCTTAGGGAGGTTGAATGTCAAGCAGAATGCACTACAGAATTACAGAGTTTTGGGGATTTAGAGCGTGGAGCTGCGACATACATAAACTCTAAACCCTTCAACAGCTGGCTGATCTCAGGACACAGTCTGGGAATTGCACGCCGGAGATCCTTGTACAAACCATGGCCTGAGACCACGAACGTGGCGTACGATCCAGTCGATGATGGTCCTCGGATCCATAGGGTTAAGTTTTGCAGGGTATCGTCGAGACGGGGGGGGGGGGGGGGGGGGGGGGAGGTTGGATGCTTTAGTAGGGTTTAGCATCTAGCAGCGTTTAGGGTGTAAGTGCAAGGCTTGAGTAGGGTTTCGGGTCAACTGGTTTCGGGCTTTAAGGGTTTAGGGGTTTAGGGATCATGGCAACCTTCGTCATGTACATAGCTTTCTCCCAGCAAATGGGAGCGCAGAGGTCAGTCCGAAGCTGCCCGGAAGACGCCCCTGATGTGGAAAATGAAATAGGGCCACGACATGCAGCCCTAAGCCCGACACCCGAAACCCCAAGACCCTAGACCCTAAACCCTAAACCCTAAACCTTAAACCCTAAACCCAAACCCTAAACCCTAAACCCTAAACCCTAAACCCTAAACCCTACACCCTAAACCCTAAACCCCAAGCCCTAAACCCCTAAACCCCAAGACCCTAAACCCCAAGACCCTAAGCCTATGTTAGGTCTGAGGGTCGTCGTGCCTGTGTTCGCGCTCAGAGTTGCTGAGGGCGGGACTTGTGGTTGCCTTGCACTGTGACCTTGACAGCCTCCTCAACAGGGTTTAGGGTTCAGGGTTTAGGGCTTAGGGCTTAGAGCTTAGGGCTTAGGGCTTCGGGCTTAGGGCTTAGGGGTCTTCAACCGCGGAGGTCGTCCCTTTATGCTTAACGGCTCCTTGCTCACCGAAATCTTGGTTGAGTTTTTGTCAAGAAATCGCAAGTTGCAAGCACATCATTCAGGGCACTGGCTTAACATAGCCCATCTGAGGAGCAGCCACCGCCCGATGCCTTCCTCGTACGACACCTTACAAGCCCCCCTTGAGAGTCGCAAGCAGCACAAACCCCAAGACCTACAAACCGAAAGAGAACACCGCCATTGAAGCCATTGCAGCTGCCCCGTGGCAGTAGTAGCCACGCTGCAGAGGTAGAGGCTGGGCCAAGCGTGGAGCTGTTGAA